ATATTGCGGAGTGATAGATAGTAAATCATTAAAAATCGAATAATTAGAAAACATTTCAATCATTAAGAAAAAAAGCATGGTGTTTAGATTTGCGAGTCTATAAAGTGTAACCCAAATAAATTTTTCGACCGTGGTTAAGGCATAATTTCTTTCTAGTTACGTAAAACGATAGCTACTTATAAGCGTATATTTAAAAATAATACATACTTTAAATTTTCATGTTAACGTTATTTTTTCCTTGTATTTGAATTCAAAAATGTTATATTTAAAAAAAAAAAAAAAAAAAAAAAAAAAAAATAGCACGCTTTTTCTTGAAAAAAAATATGTTCGCGGTAGGGACACATAATTATCAACCTTTCTTCTTTGGTATTACAGGGTCCAAACATATAACTCACGATTTCGAAATAAAGAAAACGGTAATTTCTTGGAAAGAAAAAAAGAAAAAAAAAGAACAAAAAAAAAACAACGATGATGACGCAAACGACGAATTCGTGACGTGAAACATTTTATCAAATACCGAATACCAAGAATTCAAACTGAATATAAGGTATGAATAGAAAATTTAAAAAAAAATAAAAATTCAAGTAACCAGAGAGCTCGATATATAGAATAATTATTTTCTATAACCGATAGTATTGCGATAAATGATGTTATCGATATTCTTAAGATTCTTGGATTTATGTAGAGGAACGTCTATGATTATGTGTCCTTGAATGCGAGCATGAAGATCATTGAAGATTTAACATGTTTGTATTTGTGAATTGATCAGAAGAAATAATTTTCATTCAGAAGCGTGTTTTTAGACTTAGCAAACTTTATAGAGTTTATTCTACGATAAGGAGGGGAGGAGAAGATGGGTGAGGAATATTATTATATGATCTTATAAAATCGAAAAATGATCTATCTTGGATCAGATTTTAAACGGAAGGCGGAGCGTACACGGTAGGAAGAGCTTGATTCTTCCTAACGAACCATTCGCCTTTCACCGTGTTGCCGCCATTTTCAAGAATCTCATGCTCTATCACATATCGTCTATGTTCAGTCAAAATTCATTAACATTTATGTTAAATTAAATTATTGCTTATCAAATAAATATGTAATGGGAAAAATACAAATTTTGGAAAAGTATGCTTTATGTGTTAATACTTTCACATAATATTATTAATACTTTTTTTTTTATGAAGTAATATATAATAAATTCTAAAAAGTAATTTTTTCTCCTGAAAAAAAAAGATGAAAATGTGATTAATGACTTTTGGCTAAACATAGACGGTATACTATACAAGTCGTTTAATTCGCTTACAAAATATTATTGAAATAAAAATGAATTGTTTACTTCTTGATTTATTAATTCGATTAACATAAGTTCTGACGTACGTTGAACCGACAAAAGCAAAATAGTTAATGTAGAAAAATGAATAAAATAGATTACAAAAAAAAAAAAGTAATAATTCAAAATATTCATAACGCGATTGGACTTGGATCAAGTGGTGACATATTTAATTAGATATTTACGTATCTCTGGAAAGTTGCAAATAAACGTCACTAATGCTGTATCATGTATTCTATCTTTAAACGTCGATCTTACAAAATAATCGAAATAATAAAAACATTCATAGAGAAAAAGTGGAGAAGAGGGAAAAAAAAGAGAGTGGGAGAGAGAAAGAGATAGAAAAGGAAGAGATAAAAGGAACGAGTAGCTATACATCATCTCGCAAGTAGAAGATAAATCTATCTTTTAGAAAAATAAATATATTATGTAATATGTATCGCGCGAATGATAAATAAAACTCGAGTATATAGATTTCGCTAAGAAACATAATCAAGATAAAATGTATGTAATTAAAAAGTAAAAGCATAACAAAAGAGTTAAAAAAAGAAATAAGAAAAAAATAATAGGAAAAAGAAGAAGATAGGTTATAACATATTAAAAGATTATATTGCAATTTTATCATTCATGTTATCGTACATTCTACATTCGACAAAAATTCTAATCGCAAAGAGACGCATGTTCTTGACTCGTCTTGTCTTTGACTAAATTTTTACAATATAATACATGTAAAGAAGACATCGGTAATAAGCTGAGAAAAGAAAAATCTTCGAAAAGAATATCTTTAATAAACGTATCAGACATATTGTCGATAATAGGATATAGTCAATGAATATGATTCATGATACGTCTAACTAGAGTCAAATATGTCGGTATATGTATTATTAGATTATATCACTTTTGCGGTTAATCTAACTATACAGGGAAAATACCGCGAAAAAGATAGATAAAGGCTAACGACACTCAATGATATCTTTGGAAGCTGTATGGTGATATAAAGAAACTGTAATAATAACAACGTCATCTGCATAAGGCTAATTACGAGATCGATAATTGCGAGATAAATAGTACACACATAAATTATGAACGTTATATTTCTTTGGTCTCTCCCTCTCTCTCGAATAAAGTTTCTATTTTCATCGAAAAAAAAAAAAAGAAAAAAAAAATGAGAAATATTTTCATCTAAATATTAATGCATTGAATTTTTCAATGATGAATGTCGACGAGCGGACAATATTTAAATTATTTCTCGCGGATGTGGTTTACGTTCGAGGAAATAACGGTTCCCATGTTTAAAAAAAGGAAAATATTCTTCAGGATTTGCAATATTTATACAATGCAAGAGAAAAATATGCGATAACGTAAACGGAGCGAAAAATAATCGATGACTATAATATCGAGAATGATCACGTCGATATTTCTCAAACATTCATTTTTCCATAGAAATTCAAAGGAATTCTTTTACATTCTTTTCTTCGTTTTCAAAATCCTCGTATAAAAATTGAGGTATAATTCTAAATAATGACGAAATAATACAAATTTTGAAAGTACTAACGAATTTGTTTAAATAAATTAAAATAGAGAGAGAGAGAGAGAGAGAGAGATGTAGAAAGATAGAAAGATGCCGATGATTTTAACGTACATACGTTTATTTACGTGAACTTTGACTCTTCTGCTCTTGCCTGACCTGGATTCTTTGTGTGTGTGTGCGTACGCCTGTGTATGTGGGTGTGAGTGTCGGTATGTGTAAATATAGAACATTCATCGAATCTAGAACTTCTGTCTCGACGACATGAAAAAATTAAAAAAAAATAATAATTCGTTAAAAGCGAAAAATATTCTTTACTATTCCAACGCAATTAGAAAACGACGCTTACGTTATTAGAATTGCTTAATCGACTGGAGAAAGTTTGCTGTGCGAGGATATTTAGGTATAAAGTTTACCTGAAAACGATCATTACGGCGGTAATTAGAGAAATGATTTCTGGGGTGTTTTCATCATAATGTAAAAGTCAAATTTGTATTAACGTCTCGTTTCTTATCGCTTGACGAAAATCGTATATTTAAAAAAATAAAAGAAATTTCTCTCGGACGACCCGACATCGTGCACTCTCACCTCTTATTTACGTAAGAATTATTATAAGATACGATATTCATAAGAGAACATTTTCTGACCGTGAGTAAGATAAAGACTCTTCGAAAGTTACCTAAATTCGTAAAATTCGGCCAATAACAAGAACGTTAATTTTGTTCAAATTTTCTAACATAATTCTAACTGAAAATTTAAACTGAATAAACGAAATAGACAAATATCAAAGAAAATTTCCAACGATTTCTAATGTAAGTTAAATTTGGATATTTTCGAAAAAAAAAACTTTCGAAAGAAAATTCGGATCAAATCACGAACTCGTAAATTAGACGATTGAGGAATTTGACAAATGTTTCGAAACTTACTACGTACTATTCGATCTCAATTTATTTTTCTAAAATAATTATCTTATAAATAGAATATAAAAAGATAATAAAATTTTCCCTCTCATTGTCAGTTATAATGATCGTCTCAAAAGTCTAATCTAACGACAAGTACTAAACGACAAATAAAATAATAAAAAATAATAAGTAAAAATGAAAAAGCCGAAAAATATATTGGAAAAATTCAACAAGGAAAAGAGACCAGCCGCATTTTTAACGTCAATCGTGACGAGCGATTGAGTGACTCAAGGGACATGTGACGCAGCGAACAAGTGTTTAAATAGAAATAATGACGACCCTGGACGATCGTTCAAACCGATAAAATTCAAACATATTCGAAACTACGACTACGACAAGGTAGGCCAATAGACGAGCGAAATTTATTAGGTAAAAACTCGACCATTTTATATATATATATATTTTTTTCCTCTGCACAAAGAATATAACTGACAATAATTTTCAACCACGAATGTAGAACGTTCTTGCAAACGTACAAAAATGTACGAAGATATGTTTCATAACTAGTTTCACATAAAACGAACTTGCTAAGGGTCATCTCCACATAGATTGTTTATTCGTTAGCAACAGTGATGCAAGATAAGAAGATGAGTGAGATCGAGTTTTTTTTTGATGTCACGTGAATTATTGATAAGAGAAACAAGATAGGTCGTGTTTTTGTCAAAGAGTTTAAACTCTCGTAGTCCTCTTTGCGATTTATAGCGATTGATCGTATATTAAATCGTAAAGAAAAATATGCTAACAAGTCCGTGTGATAGATCTATCTTTCTAGAAAGATGATAATATTGATACTTGGACGATTGAAATAAAACAAACAATAGAATACGAAGAACGAGAAATGACAAAATGAAAATTCATAAACGGCAGTCGATCGCTTACGCACGTCAATCGCTGTACCAGCGGCTTATAACATAACGGCAACGATGACTGTTTTATCGCACGCAGGGGCTACGTTATCACTCTGATACCCAACGTATATACATTCCCCGTAAGCAGCCCCCGGTCTCCAGTAACTCGCGGACCACCGGCCCAGTTCACGCAATACGCTTTCGGTAACACGATGTCATCGACGTCGATAACCGCGGGATTGATTCTTTGACATGGGAATAACAAGGGCACAAAACAAAAAGTAAATAAAACGATTACGTGAAAATATAAACAAACGATGAAAATTACTTACCAAAATAAATCACGATTATCGATACTTGGTTACTTCTGGTTCTCCAAAATCGTCACTTCTTCTACTTCATCTGCCTCTTCTTCAAAAAAGTGTCAAAATCAACGAAATACACAATTCAAAAGTAGAATATTAAATCACTAGAAAAATTCTATCAACCAGTGTACTCGTCAATGAATTATACTTCCTTAGCTCTCTGTTTTTTTTTTTTTTTTTTTTTTGATAGAAAAATCTTTCTTTATTTAAGAATCTCTCGGTTATTTATTTCGAATGAAGACTCTCGAAATGTTTCAAATAAAAAACAGAAATGTAATAAGTGAGAAAAGCACGAGTGAGTACCAATCGACCAGTATCGTTGAAAATAAAAGTTCTTTACTCGGTCGTTCCAATATGAGACTCTCTCGTTGGCTCTATGATCGAAAGCGGAGCTCGTGTATATTATGTACTTACATAGAGTCCGAGCTGTGGTGAACGTGGCGCGAGCACTACAGAGAAAAAGAAAGGGAAGAAGAGAGAGAGAAAGAGCGAGAGAGAGAGAGAATAGAAAGAATAACGAAGAAAGAGAATTGAAGAAAAAGGAAGTATTGGTTAACTAATGGATAGAAAGAGAGACAGAAGGAGAGGGAGCAAATGAGAGAGAGAAGAGGGGGTGAACTCCTCGAAGCAAATACTTAGGTCAAACTGAAGTCAGGGAGGGGAGAGGAATTAATGCCCACCACGTCCTGCTTGGTAAGGTAGTGGGTATGGCGCAAATCGAGCTGGGAGAAACGCGTTCGTTCTTCTGACTTCTGCGCGCGCATAATTCCTCTTATCAGAAGTTTAAAAAGAGACAGTATGAGAGTTCGGAGGGAAGGAGTATGGCTAACTTAAGACACCCTCTTCCTCTTCAACATTCGAACGTTGGACGTAACATATATGTATTAGAAATAATCGTAGCTAAGCAACGTGTTAATACTTGGATGATTCTTCCATGTTTTATTTCAAGATCTTCTAATTTTTATTTCTTTTTTTTTTCTTTTCATGAAACCAACGAAAGGAAAGAAAGAAGAAGTTGAAGAAATCGTGTCACCATTATCGTCTTCTTCTTGAATTGTATTTATTTTTGTATCCATTTTTTCTTTCTCTTTCTATTTTGGTTAGCTTGTCTGTAATAAAATGAACGTACATTAGAAAATATTCATTCTTTACTACATTCCTTTAATTTTAAACAAAATATTTTCTAAAAACTTTAAATTTTATCAAATTTAGAAAATGTCCATGGGTTGTAGAATGACTCATAAAAGGTTTTTCAACAATATACTTTCAAAATATAACAAAGATTTTTAAACTGTGGACCTTGGATTTCCATTAATCTTTTTAGCTTGAACTATTACAAACATTTTAACTTTCGAACTTTACAAGTTAGAAATACAATACACACAATGTATGAGTCACTTATTATTTTTCTAATTCAACAGTGAGGAAAGTTCATCTGGAAAAAGAAAAGCATTACTTACCCTTAGAAATTTAAAATGACTCATTTGATTAAATCTATTTTAAATTATCTCCGACTTATTTTCCCAAAACGAATGACAATCCTAAAAAAAACTTGGACATTTTCAAATATAAGTAAATACAAAATTGTAATGTGTAAAGGAAAAATCCAAAACTTGTTGCTACCCTCGAAAGTATAAACGATCGATACTCTCTATTATATTAGGTTTAAAAATTAATTCGGTGCATTTTTAAAACAAATATGTGCCTTGCCATTTTGCTTACTAATAGTTTTCATTTTAACTAGTTGTCAAATGTTTAGAAGTATTTAATATCAAGGCACCGAATTCATTTCTACATCTAATATAGATGTAATGAATAAAAAATGTTGTCCGTCATATAAAATATTGACATTCATATTTTGTTGAGTATCAATAAACGAAGTTGCCTACTGACTAAACAAATTCGCTGCACTAAATATTGAAATTTATGATGTGTACATTACAGCAGCGAGAATCGTCATTTTCTTATCGAACTGTCTAACATAACATGCATTCTGATTGTTGCAGATGTATTCTGTAACATGACCCTGCAGAGTCGTACTTTCGAGCACGTTGCGTATTTACGTGCACTTATACATACATAATACATAGAAAGATTTTAATATGTGTACAGTTACGACATCGATTTCTAGCATTGTGAGCGTTCAAATCACCCCATACTACCGTAATCTCGAATATACGGATATTATACCAATTAATTTTTAAGCGGGAAAATCACAAGTTGTTCTAATTGAATTCTAAATGTCCAGTGACATACTCTTTATTTATAACGAAAATAGTTATTTATTCATTTCCATTTCCCTTAAAATTATATTCCATAAAATATAGGCTGTCCCAAAAGTCGCTTTACCGAAAAAACAAAAAGAATTAAATATTGATTTATTAATTAAATTTTTAAAATTACAATATTTTGGTTTTACCAAAATATGAATTCCTAATTGCAGTGCTGTTAAATAAAATATGACCCCACGATTAAATATTTGCCAAACATAAATTTCTAATGTTTCAATTCGATAAAGCGACTTTTAGGATAGCCTATATTTTATTTCATTCATAAAATATTCGAAATCATGTCTCTTTTTCGTAAAGGTAATATTTTTTATTCAAATAATATTTTAATCGTGATATTTATAATGCACAAATTCTGCAATTTGTGATACCAAGATGATACCAAGGAGGAACCAGGAAGATACCAAGATGGCCGACAACAACGTATATTTAAAATTCAATGAACACCCAGTAGAAAAAATTATAGGTAAAGGCGTATGCACATAAAGGAGTAAAACATTAAATGTGGTAGTAACATCAACTAGAAACGATAATAATACTTGAACCTTGTCGAAGAAACGTCGTTATAGAAGTCTAAGAAGGAACGAAGAACTTAGCTTTGTATTATTCGACGTTGAGTGGCTGTTCGCGCACAGTGTATTCTTCCATGCTCATTTTTATAGCCTGTAAACGATTTCCATACTAATCGTTCATTGTTTCTCTTCCGGCTTTTCTACCTAACGTAACGTAACGTTTTATACTTGTTTCATTTATTCCTATCAAGAACGATCTCGTTTACCTTCTCGTCTCTCAACTCGATCGCGAATATGAAACTCATTTCGAATATTGGCAATTATAAGTTTACGACAAGCATATAGATATGCGATACATATTACAAATGGTTCATACGAATGTATAATAATTCCAAAACTGTCTACTGATGGCGCCTTCAACCAAACGAATTACTATTCACCGTAGATACGGTAGACGGTATCCTTAACAGCAAAAAAAAATAAATAAGTGCTCTTAATTGTTCATTAAATTCTCAATCAAAATACATAATAGCTCACTCTATTATATAATTATTTAATTAGCTATTAATAATTGAAAATACAACAAATTTTTTTCTATTTCTAAGCAAAGCAACGAAGTTTACAACAGTAAAAAGAAAATGAATAAGTGCTCTTAATTACTCACTATTTGCTCAACTTTATTTTATCAAATATTTTTTATTTATCGTTAATTAATTGAAAATAATTATTACACTTTGAATAATTATGAAATAGAAGTGTCATGAGTAGGAGATATGTTATACGCATGCGCAACCACAAACTCAAGGCTCAAGCGCACTTTGAAAAAAATGAAAGTAAAGTTTGTATACCTGCAGGAGATATATCGGTAAGAATATTGAAGTACATAGAAGCTCACAAGTCCCTTTTTTTTTAGTTACAAGCAGGACCACCAGTGGACAATAGAAGATACTTAAAGCTATGACTGTAAAATACTATCAAAGATTAGAATATCCTATTATAAGGGACGTTTATAAAATCACATGAAATAGATAAAAATACTAAAATCAGAACGTTATAATCTTCATTTCTATTTATTATAAATAATATTCTCGTTAAACACATGTGCAACGTTAGGAAAGTCATATAAACAATATTTAAAGAGAAGACAAAGGCTCATTTCAACGGTAGATTTCGAAGAGGACAGTACGTAGATCATATATTCCGAGTTTTTTAATAACAATAGACAGTTTTATCGATTAATTAACAATTATTTTATTACTCTAATAAACTTTCTTTATATTTCAGATTGTTTAAACATATATGTACTAATATAAACATCACATATACTTCTTAACATACTTCAAATATTAAATATTTTCGATGTGATATTTTTTTCGATTAAAATTTCCCCCTTTGAAGTCATCACTGCACAGGAAAGTAACAAAAAATGTATATTAGTTTAAACAATTTCATAAAAATTAAAGGAATACTAAAATGAGAACGTTATAATCTTAAATTTTATTGATTTGGTGGATTATTCACTTTATACACATGCGCAACGTTCGAAAAGTCATATAAACAACTTTTAATAAAAGTAATTTTCTAGAGGACAATGACTCAGTCTAACAGGAGACTTCGAAGAGGACGGTGCTCCTAACATATATTCCGAGTTTTTTAACAACAATAGGCACTTCTATCTATTAATTAACAATTATTTAAATATTCTAATGCACTCTCTTTATATTTCAGATTGTTTTAACACATATGTACTGTTTTAAGCATTACATACTTAGTAACATACTTTAAATAGAAAATAATTTTAATATATTTTTTTATTTTATGATTTTAGAGAGATGAATTTTTTAAACTTGATTTTGTTATTAGTCTTATATATAAACATTAAATTTTTCGTTAACTGACATTTTTTTTTTATTCAGTTCTCCGTTAGACTTTGCCATGTAAACGTTGATGCGTGATAGCGGAGAGTTGGTGAGATTCTTATGGTGGGTTTCACTTAGAGAAAAGATGATACTTTAATTTAATATAAGGTTCATTGAAATTCGCTCATTCTAACAATAAAATGAATCTGGTTGGATAAAATAGGGAACTTGTGTGCTTCTATGTACTTCTGTATTCTTTGTCAATTTATGTTTTTTCTCCCTCCCTCTGTAGATAACTTATCGATTAAGCGAGAATACTTCATAAAATACTTTAGTCGGTATTGCAGAACATAATTTATACACGCGAATAGAAATTATGAATAAAATTAATACAAATGTACGGGTAAAAAATTATGACAAATGACTAATTCAAACAATTATAAAAATAGATTTAATAATTATTAGATTTAAATAATTATATTATAAAATAAATCATATATATATATATATATATATATATATAGACACACATATTTGTTATGTAAACTATTTCTTATATTAGTTTGTAAACTAAGAAAAACATATTGTAATTATTACATGACAAAACAGAGTACAAGTCAAGAGATATAAATTGTGTTAGGCTTTTCAGTGCAAATATCTCATAGCGCAGCATCGAATATCAAAGAAAGCGTAAAGTAATAGAATATCATCTCTTTTTATCACTAAGGAACATACCCATATACATAAGTGTGCTTCAGCAATCTACTACATATATCATATGTGTAAATGAGTTATCGTACCTATAATTTCATTCATAACCACCACTAATTAATAATTATATATATTACTTATTTATTACATGATGTATTTATCTGTGATCATTAATATGCATTCAATTTTCAATTACCTTAATAATAAAATTGTAGGAGACAAGAAAACATAAATTAGGTAAAACGAAGAGAATTAACTGCTTTTATTTAACAATAATTCAAAAGTTCACTCTCTTATGTAAACTTCATCAACAATATACACACAATCTTTTTATTAAGTTCTATTTATTTAACTCTGCAAAATCCTGGGGCAAATAAATCTTCGTAAAAAATAACGCAATCACAAAAGATACTAATATTATATATTATAGCAATATTATTATATTTCATGTTTATATTTTATTTACCTTTTCAGTCAGCCTTTAAATAATTTCTCATTCGCGATGACAATCAGTTATGATTTAGATAATAGACAAAAAATTATAAAAGTTAAAAAGACAAAAATGTATCCTTACGCACATATGAAAAACAACAATTTCGTTAACATCGTATGTAGTAAGGAATGCAAAAAAATACATAGTCCCATATTGCAACTGCATTTATGCAAGATTCATATTCATGTGTAGTTTATATTTAATACATTGACATTATATATGTAATAAAAATAAGTCATATATATATATATATCATATAT